ACTTACTTTTATAAAGAATATCTCTTTGGATTTGAGACTTTAGTCTTTGCAACTTTACAGATCTTCTTTATGCACCAAGAGCTTGTAGCACTCCAAAGAGAAAGGAAAACTTGAAATCGCATCATATGACCCCTTTAAATAAGTAATTGAAGTCATTTATTCAACCAATTCGTTCTAACTGCTGATTCATTCAGATAAATATTTTAAAAATAAATATTAACAAATTTGAAATTATTATTATTTTTGTAGCACTCCAAAGAGAAAGGAAAACTTGAAATCGCATCATATGACCCCTTTAAATAAGTAATTGAAGTCATTTATTCAACCAATTCATTCTAACTGCTGATTCATTCAGATAAATATTTTAAAAATAAATATTAACAAATTTGAAATTATTATTATTGTATATGAAATGATACTTTAAATGAGTAAGTCATTCAACCTATTCAATATTTATTCAACTAATAATATTTTCATTATTTAAATATGAAATTACTATTTTTATATGAAATTATAGTCTTAATGAGTGAGTCACTGAGTCATTTATTCAACCGATTCATTTAAACAGCTGATTCTTTCAAGAACGAAGCAAGTAACTGTTGTCTTTATGAAAGGATCATCGAATCATTGATTGATTCAAACGGATGATTCATTCAAGAATGAAGCAAGTGACTTTATGAATGGATGATTCAATTTAATTTATTCAAACGGATGATTCATTCAAGAAAGAAGCTGTAGTGACTGTCTTTATGAAAGGATATTTGAATCATTGATTCATTCAAAAGCGATTCATTCAGAAATAAAACACCGCTAAATTTCGCTCTGTATCCTCAAATGATTTAAAACCAAAAACTGATAAAATTAGACAAGTCCAGTCATCAGTTTTTCATTACAAGTTCTCGTAATATCGACCAACTTGTTTAACTGCACTGAATTATCAAATCAACCCTGATAGCACACGTACATCACAGAGACGTCTATTTGACGTCTGTATTTATATCTGCAAGACCTATTTTTTAGAGTGTTTGCTCATCTGCAATTCATCTATGGGACATTTCCTATCAGATGTCAAATAGACGTTTAGATTTAGAATAGACGTTTAGATGTCTTTAAGATGCTTATGATTTAGAATGTATGTAAAACTGACATCTTTAAGACGTCTATCAGATGTTTGTACACAGCAGATGCTTTCCAGATGAAGAGATCTTTAACAGACATCTTGCAAACGTACATGTGCTTTCTGAGAGAAAGCTGGTGTCTGTAGGCTGCTAATTTGGGTGGGGGGAAGCATCTTTCTTCAATGTTGGTTATTCATTTCTTTTCTTCTTTTTCCCCCTGTCAGCCACTTCAGGATAGTTGCTCGGTGCTTCACTATGGATCACTAGCTGAAAAAAACAGCATATGCTGGTTAGGTATGTTTTGAAGCATGGCTGCTGGTTTAAGATGGTCCTTAGCTGGTTTGAGCTGGTCATGTGCTGGTCCTAAGCAATTAGCTCCTGCTCAGGACCAGCATATGACCAGCTTAAACCAGCTCATGACCAGCTAAGGACCAGCTCAAACCAGCAGTCATGCTTCAAAACATACCTAACAAGCATATGCTGGTTTTTTCAACAGGGGCGTCCGGTAGGTTAGTGGACGTCCAGGTTTACGTTCGGCGTGCCGTTACAGCAGTGCTGGAATCCGCTCGGCTATCAAATGTTAGCAGCACAGTTGAGCAAACATCTCCACTTACAGGCCCTGAGTAACTGACACAGCCGTCCCTACTGGCACGCTCACTTTAGCCGAGAAACGGACCATCTGGCAGTCTGGATCGGACTGTTAGCGATCGGTTCCAGCTACTGCTCCGCTTTAGTTTAGCGCTTTGACACTTTAGCCAAAGTCTCGCTACTGCTACCTTTATGAACACTGACTTTACACTGAGTGAAATACTACTACACTGCCTACTACACAATGTGTACTGCATATGGCTTAATATTAAACAAAAGTATGAGACAGTATGCACAGTACGGAATGCTAAACTGTAGTATGCCCCTATATGCAGGGGTGTGTCTAAGATTTTATACTTGGGGTGGCAAAGGGGGGGCAAGAGCACCAGGTACACAACTGTAGATTTGCTGAGGGATGTGCAAGATCAGTGTTGTCGCCTTTGTGAATTCTATTCCCTAACACCATCACAGAAAACTTTCTGCAAATCAATCAGGGGTGAAAAAGTGACAAAGGTGCGACACCCACTTAAACTCATGATGGCCATATATTGCTCACATTTGAGTTAAGCAGTTTTGGAGGGATTTATGGTATTCTTTATTTATTTGCCTCAAAATATGCATATTTTTGTACATATTTACACAAAATTGGAACAGTAAATGTAAAACTTCACTTTTAAGAATATATATTTTTTAAATTAATGTATAATTCTTGGAAAATGTGCCATTAAGTGGAAGATGTCTGCCGCCTGGTTGAAAACGAACACTTGAAAAAAAATATGAAAAAGACATGATATTACCACTATGACCAGTAGAGGGCTGCAGAGGATCACTCATTGGTTCATTTGCCATTTCCAATTCAGTTATGTTCACTTTTTGCTTTTGGATTTACATTTAGACATTAGAAAATCACTAAAATAGCATTTGAAAAAAATCACTTTTTGTCAAAGGTCAGCACTGTTTTGTACTGAAGTATGAATATTTTCCAAAAACTCATTGCATGGATGAATCACACAAATTACCTTTTCTGAATTCAAAACAGCGATTTTTGGCTAAATGTGACTAGTTGAGCTGTCCTCAGTTTAATGCTTTTTTGTTTGATTGTTTGTCTTTTTCTGTTCTGCACCCCAGAATGTTTCCCTCCTCTATTCATTTTGTTTAGGATATGACTGTAACAATGTCGAAGGGTGAACTCATTTAAAATGCTAAACAAATTAAACAAACAAACAAAAAACGTCTTTCTCCTTTGTTTATTTTTAAGCAGTAAACTTTTGATTATTTTATTAAAGGGGTCATATGATGCTGCTAAAAAGAACATTATTTTGTGTATTTGGTGTAATGAAATGTGTTTATGCGGTTTAAGGTTAAAAACCACGACCTGTCGCTCACTTGTAGATCTCGTGCTTCTGGAGGGGATGTAGATTCATAAGAGTGAGTGGAAGCAGGAGGGTGCTGAGCCTGTGGCTGTTCTATATGCAAGCATCAGTGTCTTGAACTTGATGCGAGCCGCAACCAGTAGCCAGTGCAGGGAGATAAAGAGAGGTGTGACTTTGGCCCTTTTGGGCTCAATGAAGACCAGTCGTGCTACTGCATTCTGAATCATTTGTAGAGGTTTGATTGTGCTTGATGGAAGTCCAGCCAGAAGAGCATTGCAGTAGTCCAGCCTAGAAATGACAAGGGCCTGGACAAGAAGTTGTGCAGCATGCTCCTGATCTTTCTGATGTTGTGCAATGCAAACCTGCATGATCGAGCAGTTTTTGCAATGTAGTCTTTGAAGGTCAGCTGGTCATCAAAGATTACACCAAGATATCTGACCGAACTTGATGGGGTAATTGTTGATGAGCTTAGCTGGATGGTGAAATCATGCTGTAGAGTCGGAGTGGCAGGGAAGACGAGAAGTTCAGTCTTTGCCAGGTTGAGCTGTTGGTGATGTTCTTTCATCCATTCCGAGATGTCCGCCAGGCAGCCTGAGATCCGTGCAGCTACCGGTTGAAATGAAAGATAAGAGTTGTGTGTCTCCAGCATAGCAAAGGTAAGAGAAATCATGAGCCTGTATGGTGGATCCCAGTGATGCTGTGTATACGGAGAAGAGGAGGGGTCCAAGAACTGATCCCTGTGGAACCCCAGTGACCAGTTGATGTGCTTTGGATACCTCCCCTCCCCAGGCCACCCTTAAAGACCTACCTGTGAGATAGGATTCCAGTGATGAGAGGGTGGACAGGAGGATCTGATGATTCACAGCGTCAAAAGCGGCAGATAGATCCAGCAGAATGAGAACTGATGATTTGGAATCAGCTTTCGCGATCCGCAATCCGCAAATGGTCACTTCTGAAACCTGACCGGTTATTCAGTGAAAGAAATAATGATATCTGTTCGCAAACAATTCGTTCAATTGTTTTCGCTATGAATGGAAGGAAAGAGACTCCTGGTCCAGGTCTGTAGCTATCTACAAGTGAAGTGTTTAATATAGGCTTTTTGAACAGTGGGGAAAATGCCTGGGAGAAGAGATGTGTTGATGATATGATGTTACTTCTGCCTCAGTAAGGGGACAGGAGGAGGAGAGGGGAGTTTTAGCAGTGGATGTGGTTTAGTAGTGGAGGTGGTGGAGAGGGACAGGGAAGAGAATTTAATGTTTTGAAGAGATTACGTGTGTCTGAAGCGCAGTCGTGGAAATACAAAGGATTTGGCAGTATGGACTTCAGCAGAGAAAGATGAAAGCAGAGACAGATGCAAACTCAGGTCTGACGGATCTTTTGATTTGTGTCATTTTCTCTCTGCTGCTCTTAATTTGGACTGATGTTCACAAAGAACATCAGACAGCCAGGGGTTAGAAGAGGCAGCACGTGCTGGCCTGGAGGAGAGAGGACATATATCTATGAGGGAAGAGAGGAAGACACTACAGAGGAAAGATGGGAGGGTGAAAGGGAGCGTAGGTCCACAGAAAAAGAGAGAGGTGCACCTCTCTTTTTTTCTGTGGGTCTCTGGAATTGTCAGACTTTTCCAGCAATTACTTCAATTTAAATAAATAAATTAATAAATTAATAAATTAATTAATTAATAAAACAGTTTATGAGACGGCATGCAGTATGAAATGGGAGTAATTTGAATTACTTCAATTTAAATAAATAAATTAATAAATAAATAAATAAATTAATTAATAAAACAGTTTATGAGACGGAATGCAGTATGAAATGGGAGTAATTTGACTCTGAATAATAATAATAATAATAATAATAATAATAATAATAATAATAATAATAATAATAATAATAATAATAATAATAATAATAATAATAATAATAATAATAATAATAATAATAATAATAATAAAATAGTTTGTGAGACAGCATGCATTATGAAACGTAAGGTGCCAAAATGTAACTTAGGTTTTAGTTCCTCCAATCTTCAGTGAAAAAGACTTTCACAAAAGACTCTAATTACTTCAATTTAAATAAATAAATTAATAAATAAATAAATAAATTAATTAATAAAACAGTTTATGAGACGGAAAAATGGGAGAAATGGGAGTAATTTGACTCTGAATAATAATAATAATAATAATAATAATAATAATAATAAAATAGTTTGTGAGACAGCATGCATTATGAAACGTAAGGTGCCAAAATGTAACTTAGGTTTTAGTTCCTCCAATCTTCAGTGAAAAAGACTTTCACAAAAGACTTTTCCACAAAAAAAGAAAGAAAAAAGAAACAAAAAAACCCCCACAAAAAATAGAAAAATTTTATTAGAAAAGTGTTAAAATTAAAAAAAAAATTTGATAAAATAAAATGCTACCCTACATTTGTTTTTGTGGAATATTGTTTCACAGAAATAGGTCACATTATAGAATAAAAGTGCATATTCATGTTGACTTTGTACAATTTTGAATACATTTTGAATAATTTCAATGTTTAAAATGTTTAAATTAAATATTTTAATATTTTAAATTTTTATTTAAATGTTTTCAAGTATTTACATATTTTAACTTTTACAAAATTATAAAACTATATGTAGCACTAAGTTCTTTGAGCCATTTTGCTGATATTCTATACTACTACTAATAATAATAATAATTTTAAAATGTAAAAAAATTTTAATAAGTATTTTTAATACTTTAAAATATGTACATATTTACAAATATATAAAAAATAATATGTTTAATTAAAAAAAACATATTTTGAGTCATTTTGCTAACTGACACCAAATTTCTCCAAAACCTCTCCCTTTGAAGTAGCACGTCACATGCCTATACATTCACATAGTGCTGTGTTTGAAAAGCAGCTGGTACAGGCTGTGTTTACATGCGGAGCGAGAGGCAAGCGTCCGTCCATCCGTCCATCTACACACAGACTGGGGTTTGT